ACGCGAGCGTTGCGACGTTGCCGCACCGCTCCGTTTGCCTTCGGCTCGCGGAGGAATTTTATCGCTCCGATTTCCAACGTTTTAGAATTCGATCGTTTTCCGGTTGATATGTTTCCATGGATTTTATTTTATTTCGCTAAAGTCGCGCCAATCGCTGGATTTTTTCGAGTTCCTTCGATAGCGGCAACGTCGCGAGGACGCGTTCGAAAACAGGATCTGGTCGCGTTTTATTTTAAAACCTCGCTCGCCTTCCTTCTTTCCGTTCCGTTCGGTTCGGTCTCTTTCTGGCACAGGGGTGGGTTTTTATCTTGGTTTTTTGCCCGCCAAGAGGGTACGGGAAACTACTGAATGCGAGTTTCGAGTCCCCCTGACGATTTTTCCGTTTGTTTTTCGAATATAATCGTATTTTTTATAAGAAAAAAATCCTTTAGTATCGAAACGTTGTTTTTCCGTTTTACAATCGAAGAGCAGAACACCATTTTTTGAATTAAAAATAGGTATTAGATAATAGAAATATTGCTTGGAAATACTAATGTCCCTTTACACATAGAAAAATAGAGGCAAATTTTTCGAATTTTGATTTTGATATTAAGTATTTGATATTTGATATTAAAAGCAATAATTTTCGTTGATTCGAAACTGTAATAAGACAATAGAGATGGCATGAAAAATAACTGTGGTTACAAAGTAACTGTTGTACTACTAGAAAGAAATTTTAATTATAATAATAGATAAAGAAACTACTAACAAATTAGACTAAATATTCCGCCAATCTTTCTTGTTGCGACAAATACGCATCATATAAGCAAACAACATTTTCCACATTTTATTCGTTAGAAGTCATTATTGTCGATCCGTTTTTTGCACGGAAAACTCGCGGCGTCTATGTCTATACCGAAAATTCCGCTTCCTCGTTTTACATTAGGAAAATTAAACTCATATCCTGGAACGCTCGCATCCCCATTTCTTCCCGCGATGCGATGGGGGGAGAACGATGGAGGCGCAAATATCAACTTTAAAATTTCCTTCCATTAATAACCCGACTGACGCACCGGAGGCGAGGGATGGAAAAAGACGCCGCGATGGGGACGCGCGAAAAATTTAGTACCTTTTTGCGGCCGCGGTTAAAATTCGAAATTGTAGCGGGAAAATAGCGGAAAATACACCCGGAAAGTCCGCCGAAAACGAGCACATGTTATTGAAAAAGCGAATGAACAATGACATAGTTATTTCTGAATATCTACAAAGCTATTCAAGATAAGATTTATCGTACGGTGACGTCGTTTAATTCGTGAAGTAATGGAATTTTATAATCGCACAAACAGCCGCTTTTGCGAATTAAAGCGCATGTTAATCGATAATCGAACGCGAAAAAACCGTTGCAAAAAAGTTTTCAAAAATAATCGCATCAATATAAAAAAAATAATTACAACGCGCGGATACAACGAGGGAAAAATTTTATACGCCGCATTCTCCTTTCATCCCTCTCGGTCCTCCCTTCCCTTCCATTAATCCAACGGGAGACCGATTCAAATTCTATGACGTCACGCAAAAGGGAACGATTCAAATTGCGAAAATGTCGTTGTCGTTTTCCCCGTTTCTTATCTCAACGTTGCCACCCGGAAAATCCGATTTATTTCTATTTGAATTTCCTCGTCTACATTTAATTAATTAATCAATCTCCTTCTAATTTGCGAAAATTAACGAAGAACGTATGGTTAACACTACTAATTTTGAAGACACCTTCAAACTCGATTAACATTAATAATTTTTTTAACATTCAAAATTTGAGTATTGTACAATCGACGTTTCTACGAAGGTAGTTTCATGAAAAATTCTATGAAGGGCGAAACAAAACAAGGCAACGCAGCAATTTTCGAGGGTAGAAATAGAACCGAAGAACGCTCGGGGGTTGAGCGTATGTATACGTAGGGCTCTCTCGCGCGCCGAAATCGAGGGGACTTCACCGGGGCTCGATTTGTAACGCGAGAATTGCCGTTGCCGTTCTCTCGCAGAGGTTTTCAGAGCCAGGCCGGAGCAGCAGCCCCCTGACGGTTTGCGCTGGGTCGTCGTTCCATTCCGCTCGGAAATATACATAGGGGCCGTAGACGTGATATACAGGGACGTAGATGTTTAATACCAGAGGGTGAGATTAAGGGGGTTCATCGTATAAAAACATAATGAATATTTTTCGCGTCTTTAAAGCAGAATTTTTGGATGAAGGAATGGGGCGAGCAAATACCTACTATTTACCAAATAAAATGCAATAAATTGGAAAATGTTATTTGTGTACCAATTTTACCGCAAAAAAATATACAGTCAAAATGACTACACAGACTTATAAAAAGAAAACGTTGGGTCCAATTATTTCATCATTTTCGCAACCATTTTCCCTTAATACAATAATACCTATTTATTCATCACAAAATTCGTTTTATTATTTTGCATATCAATTTATTCCCTAGCACGAATCCAAAGCGATTTACCAACTCACTTCCTATACCTACGTATAACCCAGGAAGAAGGTATTATATTAAAAACCCTATGCGGTGTGGTACAAAAAAAATCCCCTAGACTGCAGCTAACCCTCGTACGCCGAATGATATAGGCGAAAATAAAAATAGAAAATAACCGGCTACCTACCTGGCTGGCGTTCGTTTTTAGAACGATACACCCCGGTATCCTCGGTACTGTGACAGATACAGATACCTGCGAATCAGGTAACGCAGTTGGGCCGGAGCGATGCGGTTTTTTAAACTGATGTTCTGTAAAGAATTGAAAGGAATTAATTAGAATTTATGAAATTATTAATGACATAAGTAACGTTCTTAAAATGTCATCAAAATGAGAGATGTACTGAATTGAAATATCGATTTACTCATTAATAAACTAAAAATTGTCCAAGACCACTTATTAACGATTTAAAATGTCCAAAATACTTAATGAAAAAGCTAAAAATAAGCATTGTACTCATTGAAGATCTATTAATAGCCCAGAATATTCATTAAAATGGCTAAAATACTCATTGAACCAGACAATAATGACCAAGAGTTTATATGTAAAATTTCTGGTATCTAAATTTGCGTATGCGAGAATTCAGTTCTCCCGCTAATTTTGCCCGCGTTTGATTGTACAAAGAAACCGAAACGCCCTGTATAAAGTGAACGGCTTCTCGCCGTGCAACCGCGACACCGGGAAGATAGATACAAGAATAAAATGTTTGTTATAAAACGAACACGCTAAGGCTTTTGTATAGTCAGTCGCTTTCTATTTAATTTACTCTTTATAATAACTGTTCATATACAGGGCGATCGAACACGAACTCGCGATATTAGGAATAGTAGAACGGTGCTCAGCGGTGGAATTTCGCTCATTATATTTTGCTATGTATATCCGCGTTCATCATGTAACGATTTTGCGATAGATTATTTTATTATTTATTATATTTATACAGGAATTAAAACAGAAGGCTTAAATTAAAATTTGAATATTTTTTAATTGTCGATATTATTTGAAAACATTAAATTAAATGTTTCCAAATTTGAGTAATTTGCAAAAAAAATGTTAAGGTAATTAAAAAAAAAATTGAACCAAAGTTTTTGCCATTAGTCGTTTCGCAATTTGCAACATTTGTACCTACTTAATAAAAAAATGATTATTTTTATTTTTACTAAGACTTTTACATGATCTGATTAGTGTTCGTCACAAGAACCATCCTCATCCGATAAATTTTAATTGTAATTCAAATAAAGTAATTAATCAATTATTGGTAAATTTATTTGTTGAACACCCTATATTATCGTCCGTCCGGTTTGTTAACGTTGCAAGCGTGTGTAAGTAAAGTCTGTTTTAGAAACGAAGGCCGATTGGTCGGTTGGGCTACGTCACGAGAAACTCAACTCTATACAACATGCTCGATCTTCAAGGTTGTTTTGTTGTTTCGTTTACGAACGCAACAACGTTCGTTTCGTTTGGAAACGATTTCAACGTCGACTGTTTCGTTGGAACTTGGAACGTTTCAAAAACACAATTTTAAAGTGTTCTTCGTACTAACACGCGCAAAACTGCTCGCAAGTTTTAACTACATCAAAATAATTATTGCTTTTTTTAAATCATCCAATCATTTCTGATTAAAATATTGAATACTCGTTATATTTCATTCGTAGGGTTATCACGTTATCGTTTCCAATGTGCATTGGCAATTTGAGTTACAGGAACACGTCTATTCAATTAAAATACAATCACATTTAATAAACTCGCCGATTCTCGCTATAAATCTATTTCATTCAATTTTGATAATTCGAACTCTAATCCGTCAATCAATCGAAAGCAATTATTACGTTACCTTGCACCGCTTTTCCTTTTTTTCCTAATAGCCGTTCTTCCTTATCGATCGGAAAGAGCGCCGTCGATGATTAATTAGTAAATCGACCGGAATGCGTTCTAACGATTAGCGTGAGTTTACTTATTGTAAAGATCAGTTCATTCAAGTTTATCCCATTCATTAGGCGCTAAATCGTACATTAGGGATATCCCTAATCGACCGCCCGTTAAACGGTTGTTTATTTACCGCAAAGTTCAGACGTCTCTCAACCCTCGGTGCACGGTGGATAATTAATCGCTTTGTAATATACGAAAAACACAAAAAGTACACCATGCAGCGCTTTCTTTATTCGCTCCCAAATTCATAAAATCGCAGTAAATAAATGAAGAAGTCGTAAATCAGAGCCGATTTATTTTGAATGATTTTTGTACAGAGTCTAGATTTAATTTTTGCTAAACTAAGGTTATTGCATGCGTCACCTAGTACTGGTACAATTTCTAATAACTAGCAATTTTATCAAAACGCATCATATTCAATAGTTAAGCTTTGCTTAAAGTTTTATTGCGAGCCCAGCTTAGCATAAACTTGGAACAAGGTTATAGTTAGCAGAAATTGCTATAATAATGTACACATTTCAAACTGTAACTGTAATTATATCTCTCAATATTGGTTGCAGAATTGTGCCATGATGGGTGTGCAAGCTACGACAGGAATATCGGCAGGCGCCGGCGGCGGCGGCGGATGTAAAAGAAAACTGGAGGCGGCGACGGCCCCATCGGACTCGTCGACACCGGCGAAGACGGGTCGATGGGAGGCGGACGACTGCATAGCGCGGCTCCAAGCGGTGGCGGTACCGACGGCGGACGCTTGGCGAACGCCGACGCCATCGCTAGCCGCCTCGACGACGACCGCCCTCGACGACGATTTCGACGACGAGGAATTCGACGACGAGCTATCGGACGACGAGAAGTGCGCCGTAGTGGCGCCGGAACCGGCCAGGTTCACCCAACACCAGTACACCAGGTAATTTGACTAAAACGATGCCTTTCTTAACGACAGCTTACTAAACCGCGTCTGATCTATTTTGTAGGTTTCAAACACAAACCGACTACTGGCAGTACTACCAACCGCCGCAACAGCAGACGATCCGCTGCGAGGAGAACGGCAAGAGCTATCTGGAATTGGGCGCTTCGCCGCCGGCGAGGACGCGTTGCTGCGACGGCAGGACGCGGTGGTGTCACGTACCTTGTTATCGTCAACGAAGATTAGCAGTACTTAACCTGTCCATGTGCAAATTGGCGAGGTATCGGCAATGCTCCGATCCCTCGTTGCGACGATCGGTGCTCATATGCAATACTTTGAGGCGGTTAGAGCGCGAAATGGAATCCGAACCGCCCGAACCCAGTTATCCGGCGTCGTTGCCGCCATTATCTCCTATTACGGTGAGTACTCAAATGACACAAAAACGTGTAGTATAGCTCTACTTATTATACTTCTTCCCACATTTTCTTCCTACGTCTCGCTTGTAATTGCTAATCCTTCACGTGTATTATACATTTTCTTAATCAGGTCTACCATAAACAATACCGTACAGTTGTAGCTCTAGATTTAAGGTAAAAATCAACATATAATGTTGTTTTCTTAGGTCTTTCTGTACAATCTTAGGTATTCCATTTCCATCTTCCTCAGTATTAAAACTCTCTTCACCACACATTTCCTTTTGAATTCTTCAAGTACAGTAGGTTCCTCTTATCCTAATTTGCCCTCGTTTCCCAACAAATCTCTTCAAAAAATGATACTTGAATACACTTGAATACACCAAATAAACTACATACACTAAATAACCAAAATTTTTCAGGTGCAAGATACCAACTACGAACAAAGCTTGCGGGACATGAATTGCTCGGGTCGGGCGACGCCATTTCCCTCCAATCCTCCCGACAACGATTCGGGTTTGGGAGACGACGAGACCACGAGGCCGATCAATTGGGGATCGGTGTTGAGTTTGACTAGCCAAACGGACTTGGAGTCGCTTAATAATAACGAGTTGTACGCGGAATTGGGACTGAGCGGTAGTGAAAATTCGGAATGGAAGGAATCGGTGCGGACTGAGAACGAATGGGATGGTTTTATGCACGTTTTAGTGGGTGGAACGTAGCATTAGGCTACTGCTAAGCTAAATAAAATGTTTCACATAGGTCAGGAATCACGTCTTAAAACAACGGGAAACATCGTCGCTTCGTTATGGCGTATTCGGAAAAATCCCTGTGAATTTGTGGTATCGATTTTTCCTTCGTTAAGTTCGATATTTTTTTTCTGTGAACTGGCCTAGCATCTCAGGTTGTGATTTAAATAATTTAGAGTTACAAAGACAAACAAAACGGTGCGCGCGATAGAATGCAGCTATAGTTGTTATTTTTTTTAAATCATGTAATAGGTCTATATTGCATTTGTATTTTCTATAACATCGAAACGTCCTAATAATTTCAAATTCAAAAATCGAGTTATTACATACGAGTGTGGATTCTTTCGATATTATATAAAAAAATCAATGCAGACCTAATATACTTAATTTAAAACTGGTTTGATGATCTCTGAATGCTCAATTTTCAATGAAAACAGCGCAGAATTAACAGTGATTTTCCTAATATAAATTCGTCCACTTGATTACTTGTTTTAATTTCGATTAAGCATCGATTATTTTCGATTAAATTCTGTGCTGTGAACGCTCAAACTCAGTTTACTTATTATTAATTTAATTTTAATGGATAAATCAATTTCAAATCCCCCGGATGAAGGGAGGGCATTCCTTTGTATATAGAGCAATTGTGAATATAGAAAAGTATGTGCATATTGTACATAAGAGAAAAAATTTATTCTAATTAGGTTTATATTTGTACATATTTAATATATATGTTATGACATACTTTAAAGATGTGTAAAAGTAATTTTATTGAAAAGAATAATTGGCAATATGGTTCTATTTTAGATCAAATTCAGCTCTCAAGCTAGTCTAATTCTCGAATTCTTCCAATAATAGTAATAATATACATTGAATTGTTACTGTGAGATGAAGACGAAATTATTGTATTGACTTTTCAATTTTATTGTCAAAGTACAGATAATTCAGGTACAAATGTCGCCTCTTTGATTTGCTCTTTTAGCTTGAGGGTACAATTCTAGTCCTTCATTCGTCCCATTTTTCAAGAAAGTATCAGTCAGTATTAAAGAAGCAAAATGTTACTAAGTTACTTAACATTATTTGAAAATTAATTAGAAACCAGAAACCGTCCCAACGAACATTGAGGTACTTCTTGAACAATGGTTAATTCGATGTGTTTACTTGACTACGTACATCTTTTTATGCTAAACTATCAAATTTTTATTTATTCAATAAAAATCAATGAGAACACATTCTTTAATTTATTGCCTTAATGTACTTATACAAACGAAAAATTCAAATTTACCTGGTCCGAAAACACATCGCTAACTTCGATTTAAACAGTGTTTTATTTAAATAGTTAATTCATTGTCGAGCAAAGCCTAGTTCAAAAACATTTTACAGCCGTTTGTTGGCCTAGATTTAGCATTCAAATTCAAAAAAGAAAATACTCGAAAACAGTCTTTTTTCAATTTGAACTTTAAATTCAATAGAAATTCTCTTGACATGACGAAAATTATTTCAATTTTTTTTAATCGCTCGAATCTGTGCTGGTAGTATTTTGTAACACACAATTTCAAGGCGAACTTGCCCTGGTCGAATGATCGAGCAAATTCATTTGATTAGCGCAAATTGGTCTTAATTTTCTCGTCGAAAAACACAAGCCAATTTCCGCAAATTGTTTTTGAAATAGTTTTTATCCATCGATCGAATAGATTTCATAATACAAGGGGCACAAATGAAACAAAAAATAAATTATAAAAAAAATGTATAAGAACTTGTTGTGGTACGAATGTAACCATTTTTATCCATCACTAGTTGAATTTTATAAAGAATCATAAGGCAATCATATTATACTGTTTTTATAAATATATATAATGAAATTGCTGTGTCTAATTCTAAAGAAATGAAAAAATATATGTGCACAGAAATTTTAAAATATTTTGATAATGTTGCAATAATATTAATAATAAAAAATTGAAATAAGGTTACTAAAAGGCTCTTGAAGTGATTATATTTACATTTACTACTAAAAAATAGTTCAAAAAAGTCTTACTTGTACGAAGAATATAATTGTAAATTTCACAACGATACTTTATACAATGGAGGGCAGAGAGACGGCATTTCAAGGGCCTTTTCTTTAAGTAGAAAAATCTTGTCGTCCCACATCGACGTGATGTCAATAATGAAAAAACTTTACGTACAACACTTAAAAGGTGTGCAAGTAAACATGTGATATCATGTAATATGTTAGTGTTAAAAAATAAATTGGTATATATACATATTACCTCATTTATTGTTTTATATTTTTATGTTTTAATATAATGAAATGAGTAAAGAGATAACGATTTTATTTAAATGATCCTTCATGTAGTTCAACTTTTCAACCACCGAATCGGAGAAGCGTAGAAGTAATGAGAATTTAGATGTGACGCAAAAACATTTAAATTTATGCATTCAGTCCTATTGAGAAGTATAAGTATTTTACGTATTATTGGTATAAGTAATGAAAAGAAACAGTACTTACCATTTATTTCTTTTTTATCTATTCTTGGGCTAAGACTCTGGACCATTTACCCATCTTTGAACCATTTTTTGTGAAAAAGCACTACACACCACTAGCTCACAAATTGGAAAAGAAAGTAATTAAAATAAAATAATATAAAAAAATTCAAATTGACAGATGACAGTTAACTACCGGTAACTTGATATTTCATAAATGTAAGAAATTCATCGATAAGAAGAATATGCTCTGTATACACCAATAGTTAAAGACTTCGAAATGCTTGACATTTGCTTGAAGTGTTTACATAACCTCACTTTTTCAAAATGTTACATTTAATATAAAGCAACTTTAAAAAACATTTTTTTAACATTTATTTATAGATAATGGATGATATTAAAATCCAATGTACAATTCCCAACTTCTTAATTAATTTCAGAGATAAGCGCTAACTATTTTATGTAAGTAAATCGCAATCGCCTTACATAACTAGTTAGGAATTCGAACTTATTTATTTTTCTTCATTGCAGATGGCAAATAATTTAACTCGTTGTTTAAGAACGATAAAAAATCAACAAATCTTGCATTTTTACTGCTCCAAATCCAGCAATAGCAAAGATGATAATAGTTCGAAAGAAGATAAAAAAGTGAAACGTAAAGTACTTCCCGAAGCTCCGAGCACTTGTTGTATGTCAGGATGTGCTAATTGCGTGTGGATTGAGTACGCAGAGAAACTTTGCGATTACTACCAGGATGGCGGCGCAAAAGCAATTGAAGAAATCGAAAAGACTGTAGACGACCCAAACTTGAAGGCGTTCCTTCTACACGAATTACGCATGAGAAATATTAAGAAGTAATTAATAAAGATCTATTAATTTAAATCTATTTGCTTTAAAGAATATCATTTATTGTCGATAATTGGACCTCCAGGAGGAAACATTAAATGGTACACGTATTTTATACCCCCGAAAAACAGCACCAGCAGCACTAGCAATTGTACGACACCAGTAATAATAGCTAATGCTGCGCATAATCTCAACAAGTAAATAACGTGTTCAGCTTTATCGAAACAAGGCTCTTCGTAAACGTCCTCGTCTGTGCAATTGGAGACTTTCCAATGACAACATCCTTGTATGTACGTGCATTGTTCTCCTCTGGCCATTTCTTTCTTGTCGTGCAGCCCGCAACAACGCATCCGCGTTTGAAAGTTGATGACTATTTTGGTGAAGTTTTTATGTTCTGAAAATACACGTACCTGAAACTCGATAGAATCGAATCGAAGCGTTCTTACCGTAGTTTTTGAAGTAACGTTTCAATAATAACTGGGTCTTCAGGAAGGTTTCCTCGCCCTCGTCGGTGTCTGTTTTGGCGTGCACGAAGGCCACTAAAGCCAATGCTATCGTGCAGAATACATACAGCCAGCTCAGTCCTCTGCTGCCCGATTCGAAGGAAATCGCCCCTACTATCGCCAGTAGGCATATGAGGAGGCCTAGATTTCTTTGCCACATTTTGGTTTCCGATAAGGCTTCTTCCAGAATTGTCGTTTGCCAAGTAACTGTTCCGCATATTATCAGGCATATGCTGCACAGCAGCGAGAAGAATAAGGTCGTCAGTAAATAGGACCTGTTTATGTACTTATATTCGGGCATTTTAGTTGATGAAAATTTATCAAAGGTCGATTTTTGAAATGTTTATTATGCATTTTGTTTGTCAAAGTGGCAGGTGTATGAGTTTTTAGCAGGTACGTTTTGTGGCTTCTTCTATATGAAAAGTTTCTTTTAAATATATGCTGAATGTTAGTGTTTTTTTCGGAAACTGTTAATAAACTTTTCCACTTCGAATTAAAAAGCGTAACCTTTTTAAGGTAATGAATATTAATGATGATTTTGGAATTGTACATCATTAATCATGTTACAGCTCGTTAATTTTGTTAACATTTTTTGATTCTTCCAAAATGTAACAAAATAGTTTTCTACTTGAAAGTAGTTATTTCATGTTAAACGCTTTTTGAGCTATAAGAAAAACTATTCGAATAGCTTACACGATTAACATAATGCAAGAAAATTGAAAGGTTTTGAATTTAACAATCCATTAATCATAACTTATTTTTTATTTCCCACTTAAACTTCAGTATGTACATCATAAAGAGAAATCAAAGATGTGGCGATACAGGGATTGACAACTGTGAATTCTTTAATTCGTGACAGTTTCTATTCTAAACATTTACTTCGGGAAAATTTTAACTATTTCGATAAAAAAAGAATATGTATAATATAATAATATGTATACCTATGTACATTAACCAATAGAACACGGCAAACCAGACTAATTCTATAATAAGGTCAATTGTAACTGGAATATGAACCAACAAAATATAACGTAATAATACGGGGGAACCTGTTATAAGTTCCAATTAATTAAAGTATGTACAATATTTGTTGGCTAAGATATTAACTCTCTTTTATTATATTAGTATAAAAAACATTTACTCTTACTAGAAAATAAATAAAATCCTCATAGAGGGAAAATGCTAGTTAATATTAAAAGCATTGGTAAAATAAGCCTGTATAGAAGAATTCACTTGCAAATCCTCTTGATTCGTTGGTTTTACATAATGAAAGCAAATTTCAGTTATTTTTTGTATTTTTTTCTTTAAGTAATTGTATAATGTTAATTGTTATTTTTAATGATTCCTTCCGAATATTGCTGATCATTTAAATATTTTCTTTCTACATATTAGAAATAAACGGTTCATAATTCTCCATCATTTCTGCATATTGCTATTTTATTAAATCTAGTAAGGAATTTATTTACATTCACATTGTACGCATTATTACCAAAAAATCTAATAGCAATTTATAAAATTCAAAAGCTCTAGAAATACGATTTCATACACGAACAGTACTCAGATTTTTTAGCAACAATATAATACGCATTCAAACTACAAATCAATTGGTCATGTCTCAATATTTATTGTCATATGAATACTTAATTTTTACCTTAGTCATAAAGTTTACTTTAAATCTTATCGTCTGCAACTTTTGTCCATCAGAAAAGTGCTATATTTCATAAAGGGTATCCATAACTTGTAATTCAAAATTAGCTTTTCTTATAAGATTGTCTCAACATAAAGTTCTTATCAAAGTTAGTTTTTAAAGGATTTAATAATACTCTTGCATAAGGTCTAAAGATTGCATAAAAGAACTTACGAACCCACACGTGCAACGCTAATGATCGTGTATAATTAATTGGAAGATATTTGTTACAGTATATACACAATTTTTGTTCGGGTGCGCTACATAAAATAATTCTCCAGGCAAATTAAAGTGGGAAATTAATTTTATTCTGTGCAAGGTAGCTTGAAATAATGCAGTACATTCGCAGACACTTTGTATATTGTATCAACGTGGCCTGTGAAAATTCGCGATTGTTACAAAAATATGACCAATCATACACTTACAAGAACAATATCAGTCACCTAAATTGGAATGTTTTGTATAACAAAAGAAAGTTTCATTGATATAGTAGTTATTACGGTGCATGTAAATCATGTATACTATGAACACCCTATATACAGGGTGTCTCAAGTCTATGTGTGAATACATAGTACCGAATGAGATGAAAAGTAGAATGATTTACATTGCAAAGAATAATCAGTTCTACTATCGAGAGAGCTTAATCTTAACCATAGTGGTACAAACTAGGTTTGCTATAGTGCAGCAAAAAATGCTATTCCCGTTCAATATTACTTATGATTCGTTTGGAGACTCATAAAAAACTTATTTACGCCTCTATACACAGTTGATTATCACACACAGGATTATTGACGGTATATTGATACTCCTTATCAAGTCATTTTTTTAAATTTTGCAAGAATATTTTTTTATATATTAAATATTATTCCAAAATTTTCACAAATTGCGCTATTAATTGTTATACCACAAATAAGCCTGTATTATTAAAAAGAAATCAACATTAATAAGTACTCATTTTCACTTTGTATGGTGATGAGAAAATTAAATTGCGCAATGTCACAAATTTTACTAATTTTAAAGAAATGCAAGAGATATAAAAATGCTGCTTTACCTGTGATATTTAAGTATTATTTATTAAATATAGATGCCGATTTAATTTACCCACTGTGGTAGGAATCCACTTAACAATTCGAAAACATGAATCTGAAATCGGTAATAAAATAAGTAGAACAAAGCCCTAAATTGAATCGATTCAATACTGACATTACGAAGAATCCAGTTTATCGCAATTATTTATTTATTTTAATAATGATTGTATCGTGGGCATGCAGATAACACAAAAATAACGAATAATTTTTTGTACAGCTTGTCCTCGGGATTCGGGATTTTATTATTTATGTTAAAAAAAGTATATTTTGATAAAAAGCCTACTTTATGTAGTTTTTCAAACAATTTTCTTTGCTCTAGAATGTGTTTCAAAATTTTTCCAATTTTTTTGTGATATATTAGGCCTTTCAGTAATTTGTAAAGGTTAATTTCTTATTTTGCTATAATATGGATTATTGAAGATAATTTCATCTAATAAGTAATAACGTTTATTTAAATATTTATAAGAATTTTTCAATCAATATTTTCGATATTTATAGCAAACTCCATAAAGACTTTTGTTAAAATTGTAAATCCAAACGTTCCAATAAAAATGGATAAAATATAGATCAAACCTACTAAAGAAACAACATTTATTATTATAATAAAGTAGAACTTTTTATCAAGTAAAACTTTTTGATAAATTAAAAATTCCTCTTATCCGTGTCACTCGAGAAAATGACTCGCACCTTAAACCAATTAGTCCACCACGAAAAACTGAATCCCTTTCAAATTTTAACTTTTATTCGCTAAAATATCTATTGTTACGGTTCATATTCCTTAATTTAAAATCTATATTTATAGTTAATTTATTTATTAAACGTCCTTTGCTCACAAGCCGCAAAGCCATCCGCACCGTTCGCAATGGAACATCTTGCAGCCGGAATTTTAACCACAAAAAAACTGTCTGCAACGTTTCACTGAGATGGGTACTTCTGAACGTTACCGTACATTACTGGCACGTTGGGCTGCTGGCCCGGCTGTCCAGTCCACTGGACTTGCTGGGGCATGACGCTGTATTGCTGGCCGCCGGGATATTGCTGATATTGCTGGTACGATTGGTATCCCTGCATGTATCCACTTCCTATAGAAATAAATTTAACAAAAAATTAGAATAATCTATTTTAGAAATTCACGAAATGCGTGTATACGAAATTTCAGTTATTATACTGATACAATTGTTAAATGTTTATATTTATCTGCTTCAGATAAGATAAAACTTAAATTAATTAACATAGGAGAAAAAATGCAGTAAAGTTTGCATAATTTTGAAGTCGTTTTCTTTGTTTGGCTAGAAATTAAAAATTGTTTCCTTAAGCAAATATTTACAAACTTTCTAAGAATTATTTAATAAGTCTATACAGGGTGTTTCTAAACATCGTGTACATCCGAAAGGGGGTGATTCCTTGGCTTACTAACAGGGTGTTGAAATTTCAAGATTTTTTTTGTTTCTTTTTTAGAGCTCCTGCAGTTTTTGAGATATTTACTCAAATGAGGTATAGGATATAGGGTATAGAGTGTAGTTTGAGTAGAAGGGGGTCACTTTCAACATTTGTAAAAGTTTAAAAATTAAAAGTTTTTAAACAAAACACAATTCATTTTGTATTTTAGAATCTACCAGCGGCGCACAGCAAAAAAGTTCGGAGGGAAAAAGGGTACATGATTCCTGAAAAAATATCACCCTGTAGAATTCAACAACCATCTGACATACCCAATAATGTGTGCCCTATAAAGCAATCTAGATTAAAAATTTGAGCTAAATATCTCAAAAACTGCAGGAGCTTCAAAGAAAAAACATAAAAAAATTGAATAATTCAACAACTTGTAGATCAATAACGAAGCGTTTACCCCACGTTTATATGAACTTTTAGTCATAAAATAAGCCAAGGAATTACCCCCTTTCGGATGTACACGATGATTAGGAACACCCTGTATAATAGCATAAGTAAATAAATGATGATTTACCTCCAGTGTAGCCCTGTGGGTACCAATATCCTCCGTAACCGTACGAATAAGGCGTAGCAGCCGTTTGAGAAACAGCGCCGGGCTGCATAGCCCCGGAATCGGGACCGAACCCTCCGTTCTCCTTGCCCCAAAAGCATTTAACGGTATGGCCGTTGACCTCAGTATTGTGAACGTTCTCGATAGCATGCGTCGCACTCTCCTTCGACATGAATTTTATAAACGCATAACCCTTGTCTTTGAAAACTCGAATATCCTGGATAGCCCCGAACGGTGCAAACGTCTTGTGCACCAGATCGTCGGTGAGGCCGCTCGCGAAGCCACCGCAGTAAACGGTAGTGTTAGTCGGAGACGTTTGATTGTATATCTCCTCGAAGGCGGGCTGCTTCTGCCTGAGGGCGGGCTTCTCCGTCCGCGGCGGCGGCGGCTTCCTGGTGGACCAGTTGGTGCGGATGGACCTCGAGCCGAGCCACTGGCCGTTCATCGATTGTATGGCGTTTTCAGCCTCGGCCTTCTTAACGAACGACACGAAGGCGTAGCCTTTGGATTTGAGGGTCTGCGGATCGCGGACGATCCGGCAATTGGATATCTCCCCGAAGGGAGCGAAGGCCTCTCGCAGTGTTTCAGTCTCGATTTCGGGGGATAAGTCGCCGACGAAGATGTGATGGTGATTAGAAGTGTCCTGCTTTGGTTGGTTGCCGGGACTGGTGGCCCAATTCACTTTCATTTCTTTATCTAAAAACAATCGCTTATTCATAGCGGCTAGGGCTGTTGAGGCGGACTGGTGGTTCGTGAATTCGACGAAAGCATATGGATCGTTTCCCGGCTCTCTGATTATTTTACAACCTTTCACTGGACCTATTTGCGAGAACAGCGTACACAACAGGTCCTCGGACACTGACACGTCTAGATTACCTACGTAAAGTGTTTTTGGGTGACTCTCGTCCGACATGGTGACGCCGGCACTAATAATTTTCGATAATTCGTCTCAGCACTCCCTACACCTTAAGTTTTCGCATATGTAAAAATAACACTTTTTGCTAATGAAAGCTGTTACAAATTTACAGTCCTCTTCAAAAAAACGGATTACTTGATAATTGACAATAAATTTGCCAACTATTTTTCTGGAAATTCAGTTGTCATATTAAAACGGTCATATGTCAGTCGGTCACGGAACGGTAGTTTTCTGGTAACTTTCTAAATTCAACATATAAAATAGAAAATCCCTATAATTTTTTAAATTTTTATAACTTTTTTAATGTATATTCGTTATTTAGGTATTTCTACAGACTACTACAGAGTCTGTAATATTACAGTGAAATATTTCAAATAGTTTTAATTCAATTATAAGCTTATTTTTCAGATTCTCCCATAAAAACATTGGGAACATGCCCATGTATCATCATATAAAAAAAGAAGAAAGGGGTTATTTATTTGACAACTAATTAATTTCCCTAATGGATTTACTGTTTTTAATATTTTCTATTTTTTATTTTCAATTATGGATAATGTAGTTATCCCATTTTGTATCTTAAAAAAATAAGAAACACTCCAATAATTTTAGAACCCTGTAAGTATTAATACAGCAAAGAAAAACATCAAAAACATACATTCTATTAATAAAAATATCAAGTCTTTAATAGAATTTATAGTTCTTTTTATAGAACAAATATTATTAAAAATAAAATGATTTTAATGAAACATGATAAGCATATTTTTGTTTGAAATTAACATTACATTTTCCAATATTTTACAGATAATTTGTCTGGCAACTTAGTAATAAGCACATTATTCAGCAAATATGCAGCACTTCAAAGACGTTCATTTCTTCCATACCCCATCCCAAGGAAACATATACACTATAGTTGAATTACCAATGACTAGCGGGTCCACCAAGCTCCTCGTTGCCTCCTTAAAACGAGAGATTTACTGTTTCGAATTCCAAGAATCGCCCTCGGGCTCTCTTATACCCTCTTGCAAAGAAGTTTCATTCACTTATATACCAAGTAAGCTTATATTATTCAACGCTTATTGTTTATTACAGCTGTTATTTATTTTAGACGGCGCTGAAATTATATCTATGGATGCATTTAACAAAAATAATAATAGTAATGAATTTATTATAGGAATTACGATAATTAAGGTGTGATATATACTGCGCCATATTTTTCCAGTTATAAATTGAACTATCATTTTAGAATAGTAACGACTCCGAAGGACGTTTGGAAAATTATTTGAACATATATTCGGGGGAGGATACAGAGGAATTTAATATCGAAAGCGTAGCTCAGAGCTGCTTAAACGTAGAATTGAATTTCATTCCGTATAAACTCCTTCATACATATTTAGTAACTTGGAATGATGAGTTGCTAAACAAAGAGGTAATTGCTCTTAATAATTAAAAATATCTGATAAATTTGAAATAATCCATTCCATAATTACACTTCAGGTGGTTTTCGTATTATCCGGTAGCGATAATCAAGTGCACGTATACAAAGAAAACATGGCCGATCACATTTATAAGGAACTAGATAACTTGGAATATTTTCCTGAATTTACCAAAACGCCTAGTCCTGTGATTTGGATTGATATATATTATTCACCAGACTATTCGGAGTAAACAAACGTTCTTTTTTAAATAAATTATTTTATACAGTATGTTCGATTTCAGGCGTGTAACTTCGTTCGCTTGTGAATGCGGTTACGTAAAATTGTTGAAAGTCGATGTTAGGAGTAATAAAGTAATTTACAATTTTTCGACGAGGTTCGGAAATTACATTTCAAGAGTATATATCAGCCCGGAAAACGATGTACCTGAGGATAAATTGTTCAAAAAAAATCTTACCTTTACTGATATTATGAGACAGAGGAGAACCGAAAGGAGCACCTCGAGCAAAAGACTGAATTTAATTGTAATAAACACAATTTTACCGTCGGTTATTTTTCAGTACGTACTTCACTCGGTCTGGTTTAATAATCTTATGATTTTTATTTTTATAGCGACATTCTTAAATACGGCCTTAGTAAGTACTCAACTTTACCTAGAATAAACACAACCAATATATCAACTACCTGCGAAGTGGCAGACATCGATTTTGACGGGGAGAAAGAAATTCTTATAGGAACTAGTTCAGAGGTTCGTTCGTTTTTTCAAGTATCTTTAGTAGACTGTTTTTTAAACTATTGAATTCAATTTTAGGAAATAATGGTGTACAAAAGAGATTCCGAGAAAGTATGGTGGCTAGAAGAAGTAAAGAAGATGACCTCGCCTATATTAGGTATTAAATGCGTTGATGTGACTGGAGATGGTGTCAAGGATTTGGTCATTCTATCAATGAAGGGTGTACAAGTTTTACAAGTAAGTTGTGTTGAGGTATTTTGAGATTACCAGAAAAATAATGATTTTGGAATTTTCAGTATGAACAAGGCTATTTGCAAAGAATTCTAAACTCAAAAATCGAAAATATAACAGTACCTGATGTGTCTGAATTAAATATTAAAAAGTGAATTTTAGTTTTTATACGGATTATATTTTTTAAAAGCTCTATGTTTACATTTTTATAAATAAATTGTTTAATAAATCGCACTGTATTATTGTTCCAAATTCATTAAAATAAGGTGTTTATCCAATGAGCATGTAATAACAGTTACAGTTACATTAAAATTGCATAACTATTTTATCTTCGGCTATTTCTAATTTCTGATTATAATCACATTTTCATGAATCAGCCACTTTAATTAAATTCGAATGTAAATAATATAGAATGAAAAATATTGTAAAAGTTACGTGATTAATAACTACGACCGAGAATTTTTATGATTTCGTATGATTTGCTAAACCTCTGTACTATAACAGAATGAAATTATTATGAAACGGGTATAATAGACGCTTGATATCATAGCCGTAGATAAAAAAACTATTTTCACAATTTTTTTAAAATTTTATTAGTGAATCAGGCACGATTAAAATTCTCCTTGTGGTACTATAATGCATTATGAACTATTATCAAACTACAAGCTTATTCTACAATATTTACAGTCGATTAACAATAAAGCTGGACTTCCAAATGAATTACAAAATACAAAATAATTACATTTCAATAATGAAACGAAGACATGGTTTAAAAACAACGTGGTTTCAGATTTAAAATCACTAACTAATCACTTGAATGGTAAATATTTGTTTTCAAGAATTGGTCGAAAGTTAAGTTAGTGATTTCAGTTCAATAGTTAAAACATAATCTGTATACAATTAACCTGTAGAGTAACAATTTTTTCCATCAACATCTTTTGGGATATTACGCTTAAACGTTACCTTACTTATCACAAAATTTATAACTTGCAAACTGCTCCCCTTGAATAATATACGTGCTATTCTAAAGGATTTCTTTCAAATACGTGAAAGCAATGCAAAAAAATCAACACTAAATTTGTACACAATGTCATGATTCGATTTGTAAAATAAAAAAGAATAAAAATGTTTAAATAAATTTCACACAACAATTTTATTCATAATAAAGAGAAAAGTTTAAGTAATAAAAATGGTAAATTAAATTGGTTATAAAAATTTAAGTATGCATATCAAAATAAGGAAAGCATAAAAAAATCTCTCATATAAGAAAACTGTAGGAAATTTCAAGTCTTATCTTCTTTCAATACAGGGTTATTCGTGATACACGAGCCCGATCACAACTTCTTTAAAATGTACGGTCTGAAAATTTTGCAGATAAATTTTCATGTATATGCAGAGTTTTAGTTTTTCTAGAAGTTATTACGTGAGCAACCCTGTGTAAATTTAGAAATTTTCTACAAACTTTTCAACTATACCGTTCGTAAAATAGCCTACGACCTAACCAGTCTTAAATATTCACACAATTCTCTGGAAAAAATTTAAAACTAAACGATTTTTTTGGATTACACTTTCTGAAATACCTCTCTCTTATTCTTATATAACTTATTTGACGTCCTTATATATTTTTATTCAATATCGTTATATACATTAATTACACTATCTTAATATACCGAGTGTCCCAAATTTGCTTCGGCTTTCAATTTTAATTAGTTAAAAAATTAGAGCAAAGTAGTTTTAATATGGTTTTTTTATTGGCATTAAATTCATTATTTGATATGTTTTATTATAAAAAATGCAAATCTGCTAAAATCGATTTTATTTTAATGTTTGGGACAGTCTGTATTGATTTTAGGCATAATCCGATGAAAAATATTAAATTTTTGACACAAATGTAAAAAATATTTTTCTCAATTTCAGTTGCTAAATTTTTTGACTTATTTCTGTACAAAACTCCAAGTTAACTAAACAGGAAACACGATTTGATGAAATTTTTCATAAATTACAGCCCTACATCAGTAATCAATATTATCTTATTAAATAACGCCTTAGTATATCACATAATAAAATTTAGTAAACGCATTTCCTATTTATTTAACATCATTTTTCATGTGACCAATTAGCGATACGCACATGATATTTCAACACTTACGCTAGCAGTATAAATAAAGCTTTGGTTGGCTATTCTACAAAAACAATTCACTCATTTACATGCACGAAACGACGAGTTAACATCAAATTGTGTCCACGGATCCAAATTAATCGACGTTATCCTGAAATATCAGACGAATGTAACCGGGAGAGCCGCTCAAAGGAGAAGCACAGAACGGACAAACTGCCCTGAAACCGTTGGTCCCGTGAGGGATCGCCAAATTTGCCCAGCACCTGCAAAATATCATCATTAATAGTACACGGTGAGTAGATAAATTCTTAAAAAAGTCCCAATCATTTAGGAATAATAGCAGATTTAGGGTGTATCTCATCAAATGTAGCTTGGCAGTTGGAATTTTCAAAAAGATATAGCAAAATTTAAAGAAGGGAGAGTACCAATAGCTCTATTGACACTCATCGATCGAAGAGTAAACATCGCAAGATTTCCAGTAGTGTAGTTGTTCTTTCTTCCCCGTTTACGCATCTAACTCAACTTCCAACTGCCAAGCTACATTTGGTGTGGTAGAATTTTTTCCGTATACAACTAAATACACTTACTTGACCGTTTTTTCCGTAGCCATATGTCCACAGGGATTGAAAGCAAACGTAGGTGGACCGGAATCCACGTAAAAAGCCGGCTCTAAGCCCATGCAAACTTTCACGACGGGCCCCAACTGAAAGCAAACCAACCCGTTAATTACCGACAAAATAAACGGAATTACGCGCATACGAACCTCCAAACAAATCGGGCATTTCCTGGTGCCCGTATCTTTGTCTTGGCCCCAATCGTGCAATCCTTGGACGTGGCCGCAGTTCAGGTAAACGTACGGTTGCTGTTGGTTCTCGTTGGGCGACACCCGTCTGGGAATCACCAGAGTGTTCAGCCCGACGGGGCACTGCGGACGCCCGGCGTTTATCTCGTCGATTTCCCGTTCCAGATCGCGTTTGTTCTGCAAGCAAATAGCAAATGAACAAATCATCAGTTCACATCGTAGATTAGGCTAATAGAAACTGGAGTGTAGGTAAAAAATAAAAACCAAAAATAAATGCCATGGAGATGAACGTCTAAAAAACAAAATGGGATAGAATAAGAAATGAGGAAATTAGGGGAATTACAGAACAAGGAAAAAGTTAAATTGGTATGGAGCTAACGAGGATGAAGGAAGATTCGGTTAGCAAAGCAAATAATTTAGTAAATCAATGTAAATTAAACGATGTTACCGAGGAAACAATAATGGAAGAGATAGTGAAGATTGGAAGAAGGAAAAGTGAAGAAGCCGGTACCACAGGATTCCTATTATTTGCCTACAGGTAAAAGGTTGAAGAAGAAAAAGTAAGATTTCATCGAACGCATTAATACATAAAATACTTACGGGTGATTTCGCTAGACCATCCGCGGAGCGCCATAACAAAGTAGCGCCGCAAAGATCAATTAGAGATCCGTCTTGCAGAACATTCGTTACGTCCTCGACCTGAAACCAAACAAAATAGTTGCAGTTAAATTGTTGGGAAGCAATTAGAAGAGAGGAAACCTACCACTTGTCCCCTTTGTTGGGCGGATCGAGATTCTCTCAGCGTAAATATACCTCCACCTACGGAGGTCTCCAGCCAATATTCGTATTTCGCTTCGCCCCCGCAGAAGCTTCCGCGCGGATGCATGACGAGGACTCCGTTGGTGGTGCACCCGTCTATTTCCCGGCCGTTTTCTTGCCATTTTAACGATTTTTCCTGTAATTAAATCCCGCAAATTAGTAACAGGATAAAAATGTACATTTTGTATTAGTACGAAAGCCGCGTTATAAAATGAAGAGTTAAAAAGAGAACTTATAATTAAAACTCAAAGCAAATCAAACACCCTTTGAGAAAATCGCCGGCCTTTGATCGCCCTTGATCGATTTATGGAGTCGAGTTATTACACGAAACAACGAAAAAAGCAATAAAACTTCATCAGACTCACCCCTAAAAATATGTTTTTCGAAGTATCGAATCCCGCCGCGTATATTCTAGCTATTTTGGGATTCGTTCTATCACATAGTATCCGACAAGCGAACCGCGAAATTGTACTTTGGTTAATTCTAGTATCGCCCGTCTTATCGCCCGGTATGGTGTCCATCACAACGAAATCTATGGGGGTTTCCGAGGACCTGCCGATCTGGAAAAAAATTATGTTCAATCGAATCCGCGGGTACGGATCGAGAGGAATAGCTGCGACCTCGCCGCGTCTCTTGCTATTCCCGTCGAACTGTGGGCAAGTACCTGGAACATATCAGTGTCCTCATCGCTCGTATACTCTACTATGACCGCGTGGTTTCGGGATAATGTGTAGGATATCGAATGCTGGTTGACGTCTAGGATGGCCTGCGTCGAGTGCGGCGTCCTGACGACGTAATGTCGCAGCCTTTTGACGCCGTTGGCAACCTGCCGCTTGTAGAAAACGAATTTGCTTCTTCTCCTGCCTCTGTCGCCTTGAGGTAAAAATCCATTATAACTGAAATTAAGAAGGCGCTCGATGTGAAATTATATTCCCAATTCCAAGCTAGCATCATTCGCTTTTAGAGACTTTATGCTCGGTAAACAATCTATTTATCCACACAAGCGATTGCATTATTTCAATAGTCCAACGGTTTTGCAATAGAGATTTTAATTTAATCGAATGGACATTGAATACAATCGGCGTGTAAGGTCAATTAAGCGATTTAATAACAAATCCTGTTTAAATTAAATAATTGGTAAAATTAGTAAAAAATATCCGCGGTTGATATTCTTTACAAGCAAGTTCAAGGTCGAGGTAATTTTAAATCGCATGTGCTTTTTGTGACGCCATTAAAATGTTTTTTATTGAGACGAACGATCGCTGTTTGATGTTACTAACCTAAAATTGCGAACGAGTAGGTATAGAGAGGATTATAAACAATGAATTCATTTAATTGTTTTGACTAAAAGGTTGGGGTGAATGTCAGCGATCCTTGCCTTTAGTAATGCAATTAATTTAGTGGATTTATCAACAGAGGAAAAAATTAATTTATTATGAATTGTTTAATGCAAGTTCATAAATGATAAAACTTTTAGGATATCGTAAGTTAGTGTAGATAATAATTGTTTTTAATATTCGAAAAGTATTAGCTGTTTTTCTAATTAGAACTATATTGTAAATTGATAAGATACCGAATACCTACTTTTTTTAGATTATAAATTTTACACAAATATTTATGTTATCAATAATTATCATATCAACACTTGCACATAAGCGATATTATTCACATTTCACTAGTTAATAAGGGACACCCTGTATAAGACAAAACCGAGTTTTCATTGAAACGTGCTAATTAGATACCTACCTAATGAAATATTACGAAAGCGCTAATTTTATGAAATAATTAGACCCATTATTGCGTGTTAATATCACCTAATTAAAAAAAATCAAACTACGTTTTTGCAATTACAATATTAGTAGAGTTCGCACCGACGGTAAACATTTTTATGGTTTCGAGTAGATTAAAATCAGCTGCGTCCCAGTTTCGATTCCCTTACATTTGTCAGTATTCCTCGCCACCGAAAATAACTAATAAAAGGTCAGAAGGTCGTTACGAACACGATTAAAGATAATGCGTACAATAGCCGCACGATCATATCCGAGAGATTAATAACAATTATTAGCGTTTCATTCAATTCTTACTTAATAAGCGGCTTACTATTTTCATTTGCGATTATTAACTATTTCTCCAAATTGCCAAACTATATTATTAACGGTCCGTTGGAAGAATAATCGCCGTTTTCAATTTCACATTCGACTTTTATATATTTTAATTGATCCGGGGTATGAAGCAATTCGCTATTCCAAAATGGTGAGGCGAAATCCGCGTTAATAAAGATTTCACCTCGCGCTTCATTATCGAATTTACACAAAACAACAATTTCCATTTGCAAAATTTCGAATGCAACATCTTTATAACATCGTATAACGTTTTATTTTAATCCCAGTTCAACGTCCTTTCGAGTAAATTATTTGATCCTTTACCTTCGACATTGTTTAACGCAAGTATGTATGTACATACGCCAATGCAATCATTCATAATAAAATACAGGCGTTATTAAAAGAACTAACAATTTGTATGAGTCTAGAGCAATGAAAAGAACAGTTAAGTGTCGACCTATTTCCAAACCAAAAACATCTTATTTAATTAAGAACGTTAGCCTTTGACCTTTTTAAATAGATGAATATTTCTTTAAATTGGACGCATTGCAGTATTTTTCAAAAGAAAAAATTAAAGTATTTACTATGTACTAACTCAAACCCGGTTGTTAGTGTTGTTACAAGTAGTTCCCAGTCCCCTGTTTTCAATAATACTCAGTAATTAAAGCAAAAATTAATTAACTTACCCTAAAATGACTAGTTCACCATATTTAACCTGTTTCGGCTTTTCAGAATTGGCACTCTCCTGTTCTTCCAAAATGGGAGATTCGGTGCCGTCCGATCTGGAAAAAAATGAAAACATTTAAAAACTAAATTTTGTATAACGCGAGGGAATTCTATTTTTTCGCTTGTATCTCGTCCGTGTTTAGCGAGACATCCAAAAAATCCAATACATTACCCGGAAAATGCACGGTGCAGTTTTATCAATTCTACCGAAACGATAAAATTGGAGTTAAGTGTAACGATCATCCATAAATATTTTAATTGCGGTTTATGTGATCGGGAAAAATTTATTGCAAATACGGAGGATTGGATATACCTATAGCCAATATTATATGGAATATAACCGAAATCTTAGACGGTCGACACAGGGAGTTCAAAATAACTTTTGTGTAGAAATTATCTGGATACTCATCTTTAAAGTAGATTAATCGATTAATGTAGATTTTATTTAATGTATATAATTCTCATTTATTTATTTCACTGATGTATTTTTTATATGAATAATTTCTCATTGAAATTTAGCTTAATTTAATGAATATAATTTCGGGAATTATATTCTTTTTGGGCTAAATATTATCTAAAACTAGATAATTCAATTTGATGGGATAATAAATTTGGTCTTTTTGAAAGGGTAATTGTGAATGATTGACGTCAAAACAGGAAAATTATATGGTATGGTATTTTCTATTATAACTTGACTAATTTTATTTTGAAATTTAGTTCAAAACTAATTAGGTGTGTAGATAAGTTCATTTGCATAAGTTCAGTTGTACTTTAGTAGATAATTAAATTTAATATCGATCGATTTCATATATCTACCTACAACGTTCGTATTACCTTTTTCAACAGTTTTTAAAATTATTTTCTTAAATTTGCGTTGTACAGATTGTTCATTAACTATAAATTTAATAATTAGAGACTTTAGAATAAGTAAACAATTTTTTTACTTTCGATATTTTGAGATCAACTTCATCCAATTAGAGTCAGTCACAAAACATCCGGTATAAAATTACCCGAAATTAATTAACACAACCAACTACTATTCAATTAACGACAAATAGATAAAATTAACTTATTGATTACCTCGGATTCAAATTCCGGTGGATATTTAACAGGCACAAACAACGCATCCTCCGCACCCCGACGAAATGAAAACACTGCACACGATAATTTTCGAACTCGATATCAACGAGTTTTATTATTTTTTTTCGCAAAAACATAAAAACATCAATGGACATCAACCTTCTCGCCAACTGGCTCGATTCGCGGGGACTTCCACATTTTTATCGCGGCATTATTGCCAACAAGAATAGATAAACACCTATGCGATAAACGCCGCGCAAAAAGAGAATTTTTTAAGCAAATAAATAAAATAAAGGATGCGCGATATACAGGGGTTGTACTATTAGTATGAGGCAAAGTATTTTCTAAACATTTCTCGTATATTTATATGTAGTGCTTAGTTAAAGACACCAGAAAATTTTTGAAATATGATGACAGGTCATATAGATTTTAATACTGGGAATATATGAGAAGATAAGTACAAGTGGAAAGAGAATACATAAAATATGAATAAATAAATCTCTCGTATTATAAAAATGTAACGATGCGGCGAATATCGCGTTGTTTAGAGCCGGCGTTTTCCTCAAATCCGGCCGAGGAATAATAAAATATTTACCATTTTCATTATTATGATTAATCTTATCGATCCGCCCTCGTAAAGTACATGCGACGTCCTTTTCCCCCAATCTCAATGTCGAAATTTGAACGGTGAATGACTTTTCTGAACTCGCAGACGCCCAGACTCTCCGCTTTGCCGCCTTTTCGGGATTATTCGTTTAAAAAGGACATCAGACTTTGCACTTTGAGGCCCACGTACATACATGTGTGTGCAAATGCAATGGGGGACGAAGGATATGTCGCATTTTTCGGATTTGCCAATAGGATTTTATCTGATATTGGTCAATAAAGAACGTCAATATTTAGAAAGAATTGTGCCTGCTATTTCGAATAATTGTGTAAATTGTGTACTCAATCAAATGAAAGCAATTAAAAGATATTTATCTGTATTTTTTATCTATTGTTATTTATGAGGTTTATGGGATTAGGTACTCATGTTATTCGTTATCAACAATTTCTAACGGTGTCTCAAAATAGGAGAGAAATCACTTAACTACATGCATCATACAGGTTATCCCAATAGTGCGGTAAAGCCCATTTACAAAAAGTGCTGACACAGAAAAATTCACATTATCTGATACAGATTCTGATATACAGGGCCTTGAAGTCATGACGATTTGAACATAAAAATGGCCATAACTGTTTAAATACTCAGTATAGTCATATGAAATCTGATATTGAGAAACTCGTGAAAACGAGCTGAAATCGAATATTAAATAAAAAATATATCATTGCCTTTAAAAAAAGGTATGTTTGGTATGGCTTCGATTTATGGGCCACCCTGTATATTTCGAAATAATTTAAAATTATGCGCCTAAAGGTGCTTAACATTTTTCTTATTTACCATTTTTTCGTATCTATTATAATAACTGAGTAAATGGGCTTTACCGCACTATTGGGGCACCCTGTATGTATGTGTTTAAGTACATACTTACAAATTAGCACGCATTATACTGAAAATCTTGTTTTGAAAACTTTTTATTATTTATCGTTTGTTTGAACAAATTAATCTATATCCTTTTAGTAGATACAATTAAAAAATAAGGAAAATAGGCTAATATTTTGGGAAACTAATCTATTTCAAATATTTAACGAGCTACACACGCATTTATGTATGTACGAGGACGACATACAAACAAAAAAAAATATCGCAAAAACCATCAATAATAATAAAAGTCCCTTCGGCATAATAATAATACAATGCAGTAATTACGCATTGTTACAAGGTAATTTAATGAAAACACTAAAACGATTATTGTCTAAATTCTTGATTCAATGTTATGTATTTTTTACCCGAATATAACGGTTGCATAGCTATACAGAACTATAGAAATATCTGTAGAAGACACCTGCGCGACATTGATTAAATAGATAAATCTAAGCGCATTTAGTCAAAATAATGCTTGATGACTTTTTTATTGATATTTCCTAATATGTTAGTTACGTACTAAAAAAGTTTAGTTCGCTAAAAATGGCCGTCCAATTTCAAACTATACGGTGAACGAGTTTTATCTGACAACTCAGTTTGAGGAACTTTTTAATGGAAAATTGAAACTGAAACGTTGATTATTATAAAACAAGCAAAGCTTAGCGAATCCGCAGTTTGTTTAGTAATCCGTAATCCGTAGTTAAAATTTAAACCAGCCGGGATATAATAACCCACATGAAACCTATCCCATATAAATATGTATAATTATTAATTATCGTTATGCAAGTTAAGCGTTACTCAATCATATTTGGTTCCTTGCCTGCTTGTGATATTTCAATCAAGTATTTGCAAAATTTCATAATGGCTGCCTCCTACAGCTTTCGATTGTTTTCAAAGGTTACGACAAACATCGCATAGGTACACCGCAAGTTTGATCCCACTTATATTGGACAATTTCCGAATTTTTGTGCGAATTTTTATACAGAGAAAATGTTTGAGAAAATATCAAAATAAAATGGTACAGAGTACGTACCTATTAGATACATATTTTCGATAACATTAGATATTTCTGTAGATTCCGGATTAGGCAAGTTCTAAACAGGAACGATTACAGGGTAGCCTTTGTATAACATTGATGTAACAGAACATACTTTTTTGAAAGTGCTTTTTAACAATGAACTGTTGGTAAAACTCAATAGCAAAAACATGAATTAAAGAAAAAATAGGTTAGAACTTGATGATTATAGGAATGTTTTATTTTATTTTTTGACACAGATCAACTCTTTAGATCTTTTTCCCACCGTTTCCGGCCTCTCTGTATGAGCAATTACTACAATGAATTCAAGAATAACCAGTTAATAATCATTGATCGACCCTTGCTGCTTTAATATACATAAAGATTGGTTCGACTACATAATTACATACATATTGATAGATAATAAATAATTAAAAATATTATTGCTGTATTATCTTTACGATATTTTTGTGAGTTATTACCTTAATATCTGGGTTAGGTAAACTGAATGTAAATTTTGAAAGCATATCTGTAATGATGTCGATTGCACGTCAAAAGCCCTATATGTAAAAAAATAAAATTACAATGTTTTTCATTATAACCTTCGCCTACCATTCTTTTGTTAAAAATTGCTACTCTTACACAATAAATAGATTAATTACATAATTTAGGTTTACCTCTGCATATTACCTTGTACTAGCACTTTTTTAACCCAGCCAATTCTATTTTTTGTTAGTTAGCCAGTTACATACCATATTTATTTCAAGTAGTTAGGTACTTAAACTTCAAAAAGAAATTCAGAAATTATTATGTTACCAAAGACCTACAAAAAAAGGGTTAACAGGCCTACTTGCCTGTCCATTAAATTATTGGCTAGCACGTCGCCCTGCGACCTTTGCGTGCTTGTAAATTAACCCAAATCCCAATGTATCTCCTGCGCGTATCACATCAGATTAAACGTAATTATTAACGATTTTTTAAGTGATAGATTTCGTGGATGATACTGTTAAATTTTAAATAAAAAGCCGATCGATCCGTTATTGAGTGCGAGAAAATTCGGTCACACTTCGACGGTTCTTGTCGGTTTTTCTATCGAGAAAGTTTGGCAATTGACGATTCGCATGAAATCCTCATTATTAGATATCGTTAGCATTTTTAATGGAAAATTAAAAATCGTTTCACCTGATTATTGTTCAATAGAAAGGTCTTTTTTAGTAGGTGATTAGATAGTTAATTGATTAATTTAAAAATGTACAAAGCGTATATTTTTTATTACTGTCAGTATTTTCTAGTGATCACTTCCTACTGATAGATACTAATCGGAAAAATATTTTAATCGTATACATAATTACCTGTCAATTTGTGAAAAACTTGCATGACTAAGCGAATTTTTCTCTATCAGATTATGGAGGAATTCCAGAGTTTATTATTAAAAGTGCAATAGAAAAATTACCCGGATTTTTGTTAATTAACAAGTTCGAACGAGTGCACACACTCGCATAATTATGTGTGCACAGGTAGTTACAAAATCCGTTCAATACATAATAAATATGTTGCGAACATAATATATCATTCAATTGGATGTTCGTGTCGGTTCGTTATTTGCTTCATTTGTAAGTTTACAAACGCTGGCCTATAATTTTCAAACGGCCATCGATTCACCTGTTTTTCTATGCATTTATACATACATAGAGTTGAGTTTGTTCGATACATCGAACAGCAACAATTTCGTTATAACGGTAAATTCATGGGTGGGTTAAATTCGAATCTTTAGCTCAAGAAGGCTTTGTAGCCAGTGCAAATTTTGTGTTGTGTTTATGCAGGAATAAAATGTTTATGCATTTAATCGAGTGCAATAAAATCACTACACCCGGCACAATTGTGCACTAACACCTTTGATTTTAATCATATTCATTAGTTCGTCTAGTCTAGACAAGATTATCCTCGTTTATATCTGGTTATCGACCCTTGCGATTTATTGTCTGATGCATAATGTTGACAACAGAAATAACCTCAGGCATTCCGGCGAGAATATATAAATAAATTGACACAATTTCTAACAATGTTCACATCTATAATTTTACGGTCCTTTAATTGCATAACACCTTACGAAAATAGATTGTATTGGTGTAAATTTCCTGTTTCAGTAGGTCAACGCAGGGCCGGGTTTAATGGCAGATAAGATTGCAATTTCATGTAAATAGGCCAATGTCTTTAAGTTTATTAAATCGATTTGATATTAAAAAGGGTTGCTGAATTTCGCGAAAGCCCACGCTACAGGGTAATATTAAATTTCGATTCTTTTATACGGAATCTTGTTGTAAGGAAATCTCGTTGAAAAATTCAATCTGCCTGCTATACGGGCAACGGTTATATAACATATATGTTGAGTTTATTCAAATTTCTGTTGTTTTTTAAGCATCAGCTTTTTCTTTTACTATCTAACGGCAGGAAACGTGTTGAAGAATCTCCGATGACACCGCGCTGTGTGAACAGGAACGCATAGAATAAGCGAATTCAAGAAAGTTTGTAATTTCAGATTTAAAATAAAATTGTCCTATTCTCTATAAATGGGAAGTGATCGCTGGCCTAGTTTTAGTTTACTGTTATATACC